TGGAAACAGTTTTTCTGGAGTTGTGCCCTCAGCCTGAAGTTGTGCCCTCCTCACCAGGATGACTGTCCATCACGAAAATGGCTTGAGCCCAGTCACTGTTTTCACCTGGTTCCCTCTGGTAAGTCAAGGTCTTGGGGGAGGAGAGTTTACTCAAGCGGGCTGAAACTCACTCCATTAGACCTGGGGACCTGGTCACCTTGACGCTCATTCAGTCCTGTTTCCAGTACTTTCTAACTCTTGCCTGGGCCAGGCCAAGACCCTGTGCAACCTGCAAAGCTGAGGTCAGCACAGTGAGATTTGAGCAGATCTGGGCCAGAACACCGGCTCCCTAGCCTTCCCTGGCTGTTCCCTACCCCAAGAACACGCATTCTTGATGATGGTGCGGAGCCGCGCGCTCGGGGCCGCGCTCAGCACCACGGACAGTGGCGGCGGGGGAGGGGCTGGCGGCGTAGCCGGGCCCCTCCCCGCGCCCTGGGCGGGTCCCCCGCCGCCCTAGCGCCTCCGCCGCCACCTCCTCGGACTCCTGCTCCTTGCTCTTCTGGTGCTCTCGCCTCAGGTGCTGCTGAGGAAGCCGAGCGGGAGCCCGAGCCCGAGCTGGCGGCTCCTGGGGAAGATGCGGAGCCCCAGGCGGGGCCGTCCGCGCGCGGCTCTCCAAGCCCTGCCGCCCCCGGACCCCCAGCCGGCCCGCTGCCTCGCATGGACCTGCCACCCGCTGGACAACCCCTGCGCCATCCGACTCGGGCCCGGCCACGGCCACGTCGCCAGCACCACCATCGCCCCCCGCCGGGGGGCCCCCAGGTGAGCGCCCTTCCCCCACTCAGGGGCTTTTAGATTTAAGGGTCATAAGTGGCCTGATGGCTCTTAACGGGTGAGGGCTGGCAGGGAGTCGGGTTGTGGGGGCCCAAGGCCACCTGGTCCTCGGTCGCGTCCTGGCTTCTTCCCAGCTACCCACTACCCCAGGCCATGCCTGAGAGGCCACTGGTGTGTGGGTTTCATGTGGGATGCGCCTCAGAGTGGCCCGCTGCATGGGTGGATTGTGAGGGAGGGTGTCCGTCTTGCCCTCTTTCCCCGGGTGTTACTGATAGGTGCTAGGCAGCCGAGCCGCGGGGACAATCCTGCGACTCCTGCGAGACCAGTCAGTGTATAACTGGGGAGATGCATGCATGGGCTGGGTACCAGCAGAAGGCAGAAGCTGGCCTGAGGCCCCCCTGAGGGTCTGACGCAGCAGCCGGCGCCACTAAGCCGGCAGCAGGCCGGGGTGGGGGTGGGGGTACTGCAGGAACTATTGGGAACAGTGGGTGCTAAGTAGGAGTATGTGACCCCCGCGGGGTGGGAGGGCTGTAGCCTACTGGTGGCCTGGTGGTTCAGGGAATGAGATACTTGGACAAGAACTGGTGTGGGCTGGGGGGCTGGGGCAGCAGTGAGAGGGAGCACTCCTGCCCAATACTGGACAGTGGAGGGTCTCGTGTCAGCTAAGGCTACCCCAGCTCCTAGTGTTACCAGGGTCAACAGCTACACTGGAGGGAGAAGATACAAGTTCACCCAGTCCTGACCCCTGACCTCATGGTGTTCCCCAGGTGCCTCCAGCCCTACCACAGGAAGGGAATGGGCTCAGTGCCCGCGTGGATGAGGGTGTGGAGGAATTCTTCTCCAAAAGGCTGATCCAGCAGGATCGTCTGTGAGCGAGGGGCATTGCTGAGGGTGGGAGGGGGGTGCTGCCCATGGGCTTCTGCACTTACTGCTGGTTATCCCCACAGCTGGGCCCCAGAGGAGGACCTGGCCACTGAGGGGGGTCCAACTCCTGTCCCCCGTACACTTCGAAAGAAGCTGGGCACTCTCTTTGCCTTTAAGAAGCCTCGTTCAACACGGGGTCCCCGGCCTGATCTAGAGACCAGTCCTGGGGCAGCAGCCCGTACCCGGAAAGCCACACTTGGAGATTTGCTGCGGACACCAGCGCGGCCTGGGCGTGGTGAAGATCCTGGTGGGGTTGAGGGAGGCACCAGCAGCCCTGACACTGCCCGCAGGAGCCGGCCTCGCTACACACGGGAGAGCAAGGCCTACTCCATGATACTGCTGCCTGCTGAGGAGGAGGAGGCAACACTGGGTGCCAGACCTGATAAGGTGAGGCCTGGTGACAGGGACAAGGACTCTTCTGGAACTAAGGGCAGTGGGTTCTCTCCTTACTTATCTCTGTCCCAGCGGCGGCCCTTGGAGCGGGGAGACACAGAATTGGCCCCATCCTTTGAACAGCGGGTACAAGTGATGCTGCAGAGGATCGGCGTAAGCCGAGGCAGTGGGGGTGCCGAAGGCAAGAGGAAGCAAGTAAGTTGGGGAGGTCATGAGTGTGAAGTGAGGGGGCAGAAGACATGTGGCAATCTGTGGGTGACATATGTGACCAAGGGGGAGGAGACTTATGACACATACAAATTTAATTATCAGTTCAACTCCCTTCCCTCTCAAAATAGTCTCAGACTTAACTTTATTCCTTTCTGGCTTCTGACCTGGCACAGGATACTGATCTTTTCTAGGACCTAAGAAAGTACTTCCTCTGCAGATCTAACAGAAATCAGACCCTGTTACCTATACTTGAAACAGCCACGGGACTTCCCCTCAAGACCTTGTCCAAACTCCTAATCCTGCTACATGGTCCTATAGGGTCTTCGCCACCATAGGCCTCCTCAGGTGTTCCACAGCATGACTCCTCCCTGCTTCACATGCAGTCTCATCATGGGTTACACCAGGTTCCTCCTCTGCCATTCCTGTAGTTCCTTCCTTGGCTGCCTTGCTAATGTCATTTTTTAATCACAGTCCCTATTAAGAACCACAGTCCATCCTGCTGGGTGTGGTAGTCCATGCCTATAATCCCAGCTATTTGGGGGAGGCTAAGGCAAGCGGACTCCAAGTTTAAGGCCAACCTGAGCAATTTAGTAAGACCCTGTCTCAAAAGTATAAAAAGCTAGGGGATATAACTCAGTGGTAGAACACTTGTCTAGTATGTGTAAAATTCTGGGTTTGAACCCCACCCCTCACCCCCACGTGCACATACTCACAACCCTATGTACCATCTACTTAATAGCTTTTCAGGAAGAACATGGTATAAAGTGAAACCCAGCCTCCATTTAGAAACAAAGTGTGACAAGTACCACAGAATTAAGAAATACCGTTATGTATCTACAAATGTGCATGCATATTTTGATGTGCCAACTACCTGTCATCCCAGACTGTGAGCTCTCAGGGGGCTGGGGGTGGGTTTGCCATGTTCTGTGGCTGGGTGATAATAAGAATGAATAAATGGACAAGGCTAGGGTGAGAGGGGCAGGGCTGGGGTTTGACTGTCTTGTTTCCTACAGAGCAAAGATGGTGAGATCAAGAAAGCTGGCTCAGATGGTAAGTGGGAATCTGGGTAAGGTAGTATATTAGGGGCAGGGAGATATCCTTAGAGATAGTCCCCACCTTACTGGGCACGTTGGCACATGCCTGTAATCCCAGTGGCTTGGGAGGCTGAAGCAGGAAGATTGAAAATTCAAAGCCAGCCTCAGCAATTTAGTGAGGCCCTTTCTCAAAATTAAAAAATAAATACAAAGGCCTGGGGATGTGGCTCAGTGGTTAAGCATCCCTGGGTTCAATCCCCAGTACCAAAAAAGAAAAGATAGTTGTTACCTCAATTACTCTTCTGGGGGAGGGGGAGGGACTAGAGTTTTTTCTTTCCCTTGCCCCTAATGCCTGGTGTCTGAGTCCCTAGCCCCAACTTGCAGGTGACATTATGGACAGTTCCACGGAGACCCCTCCCATCTCGATGAAGTCACGCACCCACTCTGTCTCTGCTGGTGAGTAAAGGCCACTCTGAGTTATGGGAGGTGCAGGGACAGGCAAGAGAGGGGGTAAGACCATTGCTCAGACCCATCTCCAAGGCCTGGACCAGGTCTTGGCTGACAACCTTTTCCCTGCAGACCCCTCATGCAGACCTGGCCCAGGGGGCCAGGGGCCTGAGTCTGCCACCTGGAAGACACTGGGACAGCAGTTGAATGCAGAGCTCAGAGGACGAGGTTGGGGCCAACAGGATGGTCCAGGACCTCCCTCCCCTTGTCCCAGCCCAAGACCCTGCAGAGCCAGCCCCTCCCCAGACAGCTTGGGCCTCCCAGAGGACTCTTGCTTAGGCCCCAGGAATGAAGGTAGGCAGGCAAAACCATCCCCAACCCTGGGCTGGGGCCTAGGGAGTCCTGGCTGGAAACTTGTCTCCCGTGGAGACTCTGAAGATGGGAGGCAAGGGCTGGAATGGGAGTAACTATTGGGAGCGTATCCTGATACCCTGGCCTCCCCCAGATGGCCAGCTGAGGCCACGGCCTCTCTCCGCAGGGCGACGAGCAGTGTCTGTGCATGAGGACCAGCTCCAGGCCCCTGCTGGTGAGGGACACACCTCCATGTGTGCTTGAGTGCAGGAGACTGGGGAGGCTGGGCTCCTGGGTTTTCTGTGGTCTGGCCCTTGGAGAAATCCAAGAGCCAGAAGGCCAGGTGCAAGGGTTTGACAAGCCCTCCTACATCCTGGCTCTATCTCCCAAAGAACAACTTCTACAAGGGGTAGGACAACACAGGGAACAGGGAAGCTCTGAAGACAGTAGTTTTCTTAGAGTGTGTGTGCATTCTTGCATGACTGCAGATGGGAAAAATGGCTGGGGATGCACAAAGAGCTAACCTTTCTGTGCTCCTTAGAACGGCCTCTGAGGCTTCAGCGCTCCCCTGTCCTCAAGCGCAGGCCAAAGCTCGAGGCACCCCCATCCCCAAGCCTAGGTAAGAGGGGGCCAGGGTCAATTGGGAGGGTGGCAGAACTACTTAGCTCAGCCCTAATCCTTTCTTTCTACCACTCACCCCTTGCAGGATCTGGCCTTGGAACCGAGCCTCTGCTCCCACAGCCCACAGAGCCCTCTAGCCCCGAGAGGAGCCCACCCTCCCCAGCCACAGACCAAAGAGGCGGCGGCCCCAACCCCTGATCCTCTCTTCTCTTGCCGCATGAGATTATTTTATTAAAAAACTTGAAGGAAGCAGACTACATAAGTTTGTCCACACCTAGACACAGATCTGTACATGCATATCCTCTGATGTGCCTGCATGACTCCTCACACTTGAGTTAGCTCAGACTCTGGCTGTGGCTCCATCAAAAAGTGCAAGACCCATGCCACAAGTTGGGGAGGGAGCCTGGGAAGAAACCATGGCTACAGGTCAAGGTTGCCTGGAACTGGTGACCATCAGAGTAGGGGCAGGGCTAGGGATATAGCCTAGAAGTAGACCATCTGCCCAGCAAGTGTGAGTCCCTGGGTTCTCATCCCCAGCACTGCAATACACAAAAAAACTCAATAACAGAGTAAGTAAATGTGAAAAAAAATCTGGGATAAATAAATAAAACAACAGAGTAAGGGCAGCCCCAGGCACTCACCTGACAGCGTGGACCTGAGCACAGAGGGAGGCACAGGGTAGTTCATAATCATATTGGAAGGTGGAACCATCACGATGCCTCTTTGGGGGGTCCTGAAAGGGGTGTGGTGTCTGGGGGGATCAACAAGACCCCTAATTCCTTTCAAAGTTACGCTTACCCAACTCCCAGCTCTATTCAGGGCCCTCCCCATTCTATTCTTCAATTACAGAGGGGCAATACTCACCCAGACAGGGCAGGGCTCCTGGACTCCCTTGGCTCCAGTCCTTGGAAAAGACCGCTGGTTCTTATGGGGCAACCCTAGCTCTCTGAACTCCAGGCTAAATTTCTGGGCCCTGGTCACATGGGCCTGGTATGGACTGGGGTTATGGTCGATGGGCGAGAGACTGGGAGTGCAGCTCAGGAGTGGGGAGTTGGATGTATGACTGGGGTGTGGGGAACTGAAGGGCGGGGATCCAGAGGCTGAGCAGATGGCAGGTAGGGACTGGGAGCTGTGCTTCTGTACCAGGTCCGGGGCAGCCAAAGGGAGGGCAGGCAGAAGGCTGATGCTGGCACTGCTTTCCTCCAATGGCATGTGACAGGTTAAAGCAGGAGTTCCTGGGAAGGAAGAGACTCACTATGGGTACAGTCCTCTCAGACCAGCTGAGTGGCCCAAGAGCTCAGCCAGGCCTGCAAGGTCTGTAGTCACCCCATCACTGCTGCAAACTTTTACAGCATCCTGTGCAGTCTGGGAACCTTACTGACAGCAGTGAGTGCTTGTGGCCTGAGCACCATCTCCCCTGAGGAACTGGATGAGGAAGAATTAGAGATCAGGTTCCAAGATGGGTCCTGCAGAGCAAGTTTTGATAGGGACAACTCACAACCAGTCTGGGGGTTCTTGGGATGTGCATCAGCACTGTGGGCCCTGGGTTCTAGAGATTCTTCTTTTGACCTCTCCAGTTCTCCTTACCTTGTACCTTCTGACTTGAGCCCAGAGAGCTTAGAATTTGCTGGTCATTTTCAGGAATGTGCAGCAATAAGCTGGGGACAGAGTACACAGCTTCTTCCTGTGGGATGTGAACTCTTAGCCTGGCCTTTGCCCAATTCGTTATCCTGACATCTCCCAGGGGAAGCCTGATACTAACCATGGCCCTGCAGCGTGAGGCAGCCCAGTGGGTGAGCGGGGGTGCTGTGCAAGGGCCTGCCAGCACTAGGCAGCTCTCAGCTAGATGCACTAGTGCCCCCCGATGCTGCTGGTCCTCCTGCACTTCATCCAAAAGCTGGGACAGTGTTAGGCCTAAGGACAGGAGACCAAGTAATCAAAGGGGAGGAAATATAAGGTGGTAGGGGTACTTCCTGAAAATGCACAGTGATGACAGAAAGGAAACTCCATAGGGAATTACTTAGGGTCACTGGGAAATCCCTACTAGTACCTGCATTGGAAGAGGTGGACTCTGAAAGGTGGTCCCTATAGAAAGACAGTAGACAGGCCTCAGGTTCCAGATCTGCCATCCCCTGACCCAGCCACACTTGGCCCCAGAGCACAACCCCAGACTCACTCAAGGCAGTCATACAGCTTTTTCTGCACATCCAAGTCCTGGTTGCTGAGGGAAAGAGGATAATAAGTAGTGTTACTTGGGGCCCAAGCCCTCCCAACCAAAAGCCTATGCATGTGGTGGAGGTATTTTTTTTCTTTGAGTGCTGGGATTGTCAGAATCTTACACATTGTAAGCACTGTGTTACTAAGCTACACCACCAGCCCTTGGAGGAATCACTTACCAACCAGTAACCAGTATCCGAGGCTGCTCGGTGGGCAGCAGGCTGAACCGGTCCACTTGGAGGTAGAACTCTGCAGGCTGAAGGAAGTGAGTTGGGGGTAAAAGTCTCAGGCTCAGAAGTTGTTATGAGATGCCAGGTTCAGTTATCCTCCCATCCTGCCCTTGCCACTCACCGTGCAGCCCTCGGCGACCTGGATGCGGACCCCGCAGACCTGCAGTAGCAGTAGCCGACCCTCAGCTCCACAGAATCCGAACTCTTTTTCCTCCCTGGGGCGAGCGCGACCCTCAAAGACCAGCCCTTAGGAATACAAGCCCCATCTGCCTGGGACTCGCCTTCTCCACTGGAGAGCCCACCCACCTCGGGCTCAAACATCTTATCTTGCTCTCGGGTTGGGCTGAGACCTCCCTGAGCCCGGCGGTGTCTCTCTCACCAGTCCGAGGTGTCCAGGGCCTCGCGCGTTACCAGGCACCGGACACTGTGGGTCCCGTCCGACACAAGCAGCATAGCCCCGGCGTCAGGGGCAACAGGCGCGTGGGATGAGCCCGGGGTCTCTGCGTCCTGCAATACCTGACGGCAGCGACCCGCGTCAATACCACTACCTCGGTTCCCACCCGGGCTCTGGGCCTTGACTAGGGGCTCACCTTGAGCAGCTGCCCGGCTCGTGGACTTGAAAGTGTTTCTGACCCCAGGATCAGCTCTCGAATCCAGGGCCGCAGGACCAGATTCCCCAAACCCGCCATTCCTGCAGCAGAACCTAGTAGAAGGCGGCTGACGGGGGTTTCCCGCGGACACCGTAGCCCCGCCTCTCATCGGAAGAGGAAGGGGTTGGGCGGGTCCAAAACCGAGGCCCCGCCCACGTGCGCGCCCGCGTGAGAAGTAGAGCATCTTGTTTGGAAAATTGTGTGCAGCTCTCTGCTGCATGTGCTGCATTCTGGTCCAGTTATTCTTATCGGGACATCTCTCTGAGGAACAATCTGGCCTTGGGCCGTTCCTCACGACACCAGGAAGGAAGGGGCCAAAGGCTGGCTCGCAGGCAGAGTGATCCTGGGCCTGAAGCTGCTGAGATCTGAGGGTGGTAGCTTGAGTGAGTTGGCTCGAAGCCACTTCGCCGTGTGGCCCGGAGGGGTTTAGCAGAAGTTTATTATGACTCAGTTTCCTCATATACAAAATGCTTAGTCTTGTAAGACCAGTGGAAATAAAAGTACACAGCGCTCAATAAATGTCACTTCCCTCTTTTTCCTCTCGGATTGGCCAAGTCCGTCCTCTCAGACTCTTCCGGACGTGCGAACCCTAGCGTAATGACGTAGGAGCAGAGGAAGAATGTTCTCCACCCACATCTCTGTTTCCTAGGAGACGTGGACTCCGCGTTCCTCTGTGTCGCTGCCCCCTTGACGTCATGGTCCGAATGGGAGGGCGGGGCGAGTGCTACAGTAGGGGCGGGGCGGCGCGGGAGGGCCAGCCGGGCTGTGCACCTGCGCCTCCGCGGGCTGCCTGGGGCACTGTCCCTGGTCCGCCCGGTCCCGCAATGGCCAGGCCGCAGAGGACTCCGGCGCGCAGTCCTGACAGCATCGTCGAGGTGAAGAGCAAAGTAAGGGCGCCTTCGGCCCCGGCTCCGGCCCCGGCCCTAGGCATTCCCAATTCTCTCCTTCTCCCCTTTCCTGCTCCTTGGTCCCATCACTTCTGTCCTTCATCCTCCATGTCCCATTCTTTTTTTCTGCTTGTTTTTCCTTATCCATCCTCCTTCCTTCCACTGCCAGCCTCCAGAGTCCCTCTCAGGTTTTGGTACATGGAGGGCGGGGACAAGACCTTGGACAGCGTCCCTTATACTGGAACTGAGGTGTGGGCTCAACGCTGTAGCTTTTGCAGCAGCCCTCTTTTACCCCTACTTATGCCAGACTTAGATCTGTGTGAAAAAGAGACCTGTCCTAACCAGTCTTCTCCCCCCCCCCCACCCGCCTCCAGTTCGACGCTGAGTTCCGACGCTTTGCGCTGCCCCGTGCTTCCGTGAGCGGCTTCCAGGAGTTTTCTCGGTTGCTGCGTGCAGTGCACCAGATCCCAGGCCTGGACGTGCTGCTTGGCTATACGGATGCTCATGGCGACCTACTGCCCCTCACCAACGACGACAGCCTGCACCGGGCCCTGGCCAGCGGGCCCCCGCCGCTGCGCCTACTGGTGCAGAAGCGAGGTGAGGAGAATGGGGTACAGTGGGCAGCCTCGGTGGGGTAGGGTGACCCGGCAGGTCTACAAGGGTTAGTCCATACCCAGAGCACTCAGTCTTCACCTTCTGCAGTCCTTGCCCTTGGCCTGACCTCCAAGTGGTAGGAAATAGCTACATTGCTCCCTGTAAAGGGCCCAAGTAGGAGAGCAGCATGTCTGATCTCAGCACCCCCCTCTCCTGCAGCAGAAGCTGACTCCAGCGGCCTGGCATTTGCCTCCAACTCTCTGCAGCGGCGCAGGAAAGGGCTTCTACTGCGACCAGTGGCACCCCTGCGCACGCGGCCACCCCTGTTAATCAGCCTGCCCCAAGATTTCCGCCAGGTTTCCTCAGTCATAGATGTGGACCTACTGCCTGAGACCCACCGACGGGTTCGACTGCACAAGCATGGTTCAGACCGCCCTCTGGGCTTTTACATTCGAGATGGCATGAGTGTGCGTGTGGCTCCCCAAGGCCTGGAGCGGGTTCCAGGCATATTCATCTCTCGCCTGGTACGTGGGGGCCTGGCTGAGAGTACAGGGCTGCTGGCAGTTAGTGATGAGATCCTTGAGGTCAATGGTATTGAGGTGGCTGGGAAGACCTTGGACCAAGTGACCGACATGATGGTTGCCAACAGCCATAACCTCATTGTCACTGTCAAGCCTGCCAACCAGCGCAATAATGTGGTGCGAGGGGCATCTGGGAGGCTAACACGGCCTCCCTCTGCAGGGCCTGGGCCTGCTGAGCCCGACAGTGATGATGACAGCAGTGACCTGGTCATTGAGAACCGACCGCCTCCTTGTTCCAATGGGCTGTCTCAGCCGCCATGCTGGGACCTGCACCCCGGCTGCCTACTTCCTGGTGTCCGAAACTCTCTGCCCTCCCTGGATGGCCAGGAACAGGCCAGCTCTGGCTGGGGGAGTAGCATACGAGGAGGAGATGGTAGCGGCTTCAGCCTCTGACAGGCAAGGATGCAGCCCTTTTCTATTCTAGGCTGCTGGGACATGGTAGGGACATCCTGGTTGGGGCGGGGGTTAGCTTGCTTGTTCCATTGGGCCCTCTCAGCCTAAGGAACATTAAAAGTTTTCTACAAACACAGACATGGTCCTTCTGTGTCCTAGTCCCAGCCTCCTCTCCAATCCCATAAGCCTACCTTCTACTCTGGATATGAAACAGGAATGACAGGGGCAGTGGAAAGACCTTCCCATGGTTAGGCAGAAGGAAGGTCATGGGGCTTTGCATTTCTGAAGTAAGGAAAGCTTCTATGGACCAAACATTATTGGACATGCCTATAATTCCAGTGACTCAGGAGGATGAGGCAGGAGGATGGCAAGTTGAAGGCCAGATTGGGCAATTTAGTGAGATGCTCTCTCAAAATAAAATAAAAAGGGATGTTGATATAGTTCAGTGATAGAGCACTTGCCTAGCACCTTGGGTTCAATCCCCAGTCCTCCCTCCAAACAAAACTCTTACGGAAACAAACCCCACTGTGTACAAAAAGTTTAATTTTGTCAAAAGGGTTTAAAGGCTGGGATGGCCCTTCTACAACCACAGATAGCTGGGAAGAATACTCTGGGTATATTGCCTGCCCAGAAAGCTCCTCTTTTTGGACCTCTGCTGTATAACCGGGCCTGTTGCCTCTTGCAGCCATGTGGCAATCCTCAGTGTGGATCTTCCTGCCACTGCTCCAACAAAGGGGCTCAGGCATCCATCTTCACGAAGACTTTGGGCCGGGAAAAGATCTTGATGGCCTCTTCTACCTGCACCAGCTTCCGGTCCAGCTCAACACGGTGGCCTTGGGCTCTCAGCGAGTCTGCCCCGGCAGGTAGCAGTACTAGCTCACGCAGCAGCTGGCTCTGGCCTACAGGGGCCCAGGAACAGTGAGTACTGGGCAGAGATGCATGGTTCCCAGTGGGCTCCCCATCCTGCCCCGCTTGCCCAAGTACTCACTCTGGAGCAGACTATTCAGTGTTTCCAGCCGCTGGTTCTCAGGCATGCAGGTATGACCAGGGGGCATGTCAGGGTCTGGCTGGCTATGCTGGCGGGCTTCAGCCTCCCGCCGCCACATATCCCTGCGCTCCAACAAGCTGTAAATACACAGGCCTAGGGTTGAGGAAACCAAGACAATTGACTCCCACCTTCCATAGATGCCCCTCACCCAGGGTGTTGGACACTGAGACCTACTAACGAGGCACATGGCCCTTCTGTGTTGCGTTGTAGTGCTCCTGGGCTTGACGTTGCTGCTCCAGCACCTGTGCCAGGGCCTGCAGTGAGCGGGAATGGCGCCGGGGGGCCCTCTTGGCAGCTTGGGCATTGTGACTAATGAAATCCACACTCAGGCCTGATCCCTGTAGGACATGGCAAGAATGTTGGGGGTTAATAGCATTATGTTGTACTTTTGTATCCCCACCCACAGGATTCCTGCCCAACCACCTCCTAGCTCCCACATATCCTCTCACCTTAGCTTTGGGTCCTGGTGGGGTTAGCTGGAGACTGGGGATACGGGGTGGTGGGAGCCCAGGGCCACAACGGGAGTGTGCCCGCAGGAAGTGGGCATGCTCTGTTGCAGAGGCGGGGTCAGGCTCCTGCAGGGAAGGACATAGCAGAGGAATCAGTTAGGCTGATATCAGGGTCTCAAACCACAAGGGCATGCCTCTAGCCTTCTGGCCTTTCAGGATTTTTCTCTCCCCATCCCTATAGGGCCTCTTTTTTTTTTTTTTTTTTTTGAGAGAGAGAAAGAAAGAATTTTTTTTAATATTTATTTTTAGTTCTCGGCGGACACAACATCTTTATTTGTATGTGATGCTGAGGATCGAACCCAGGCTGCATGCATACCAGGCGAGCGGGCTACCACTTGAGCCACATTCCTAGCCCAGAGCCTTTTCTTTCTTAAAGGACCACTTCTTATTAGCATTTAAACATGGGGGTCTCTTCTACATTTAAGGAAACAAACTATATTTCATTCTAATTCGGTTCAACTAGCACTTTTTTCTCCCTCTCAGTTCAGCTAGCACTTTTTTCTCCCTCCTAGCCAAGCTTCAGCCCCCCAAGGTCATTGAGGGCTGGCTTCCAAGCCCTCAAATCCAGGGGGCCACTTCCTTGGTCTCATTGTTCTCAACCTGCTCATCAATAACTCCTGGATCTCATGCCTGAGATCCAGACCTGATCATCCATCTGCTTCCTGGACACACTCCCACCCCCTGGGAGTCCCACAGATGCCTAAGCTTCAGTATATCCTTATGTGACCTTGTCTTTTCTCTCAGTTCTCCTCCTTCTTAGAGGAATGGTGCCTACCCAATACAGGGGCCACCATACCCCAGTCCCAGCCCCTGCCTTCCCTACTATCCTCAGATAAATGTTGAAAGACCAGGGGGTATAGCTTAGTGGTAAAATACATGCTTAGCATGAATGAGACCCTGGGTTTGATTCTCAACACAACCACATGGCACACATTCGCACACACAAAAAAACATTGGAAAGTAGCTTAGGTGGTCCTTTCAGATGTGGGTTCAGCTGACTTCTTGGCTTAAACTCATACTTTTCCCCCTCACAGTGAACTGTACCCAGGATCTCCACTGCTCACCCTCTAGTCTCAGAACATCTACCTGTAAAGTTCTCTTTCCATGGAATGTTCTCTCCCACACTTCCCTTGCCTAATTCCTACTGGACCCTCATGATTAGCCCAGCCATTACCACTTCTGCAGAGACCCCAGATATGCCTGCAGCAGTACCAGCTGTCCCTTAATACTTTATTATCTTAATTCTCTGTGATTTCTTCCCTTCCCATAACTCAGATCACGCTATAATTTTGCCTGCTGGCCAACAAAGACAATATTTCTGGCTCCCTAAAACAGATACCTGCAGCTGGGCCTTGAGTCGGGACTCCACCTTGTCATACTTGGGTGACCGCCACAGTGCCTTCAGGGGCCTGAGCTGGCCCTGCTCCCGGCTGTGCTCTTGCTCTCGGAAGCGCTTCTGTATCTCTCTGATCCGCCTCAGATTTTCCTTCTCATGGTCTTTAGGGTCCTTCCCTGGAGAAAATATGCTGCCATGCTCTGCTCCATGTATGGCCCATGCAACCCAACTTAAACTAGATCTTAGTATAGGCCCATACCCTGCCTCCTGCACAAAGATATCCCTGGCTCTCCTGTCTGGGTTAGACCCCACACACATATTCCATGGCATCAACTTATGCCTTTCCTTCCTAACATAGTGCATATCTCTTTGTTATTTTTTACATTTTTAACTTGTTATTGTTTTGTGGCATCAAACCTGAGGTCTTGTACATGCTAGGCAAACACTCTACTACTGAGCTACATCCCCACCCCAGTTTTTTACATTTTTATAGTGAAGTATACCATTAATCATCTCGCATATTACACTCAACTCTTGTTTATTGCCTCCCACCTTAACTTTATGATGACCCACACTTGTCCTTGATTTTGTTTTCCTAGTATCTATATGAATCCTGTTTCAAAGTATTTCATTGATGCATGAATGCATGAAGCTAGGACTTCCCGGGACTGTCTCATTCAGTCCACTCCTGCGAGGAGGTAGTTCATTTCCTACTCCTTTTATATTGGGGAAACATCTACAGGGGCAAAGCCAGCGTCCAGGTCAGGGAAGAAGGAGCAGCTCCTTTAGATCTCCACTTTTGATCTCCAACTGCTGCTCTTTCTGGCTGGGACTTACTCTTGGGAGAAGCTCCTGGACCGAGGGAGATGTCTCCCAGTTGCAGCAGCACATCCCCCACGCCTCGTTGGCTACGCTCCAGGATTTCTCGGGCTCCTGGCCTGATGCGGGGGCCACGGGGAGGGGCAGCGTCCAAATCAGGTTCCGAGGTCAGCAGGTCCAGCTTCAAAGCGGTTCCCTCGAGGCGTCCTTGGGCTAGGAGGTGGGACCGGGTGGAGTACGGGGCTCAGTTATGGAGTGGGGAATTCGCCCCACCGCGGCACGCTCTGCACGCTCCAACTCACCAGAGGCGGGTCGCCGGTAGTAATCAGGGCAGAGCGTAGGATCTGGGGGAATGGGCCCCGAGATGCGGGACGGGCCTTCGCACATGCTGCGGTCGACGCCCTGCAACGGTGCACCGAGGCCTGCCACGCTGCGCATCTCCCGCCGGAACCCCTTTCCCTACCCCGGTGCTTCCTCCTTCAACCCAGACCCTGCAGCCAGGCCGTGTTTTCCATTTCCAATCACTCCCCCAGCTCCCTCCGCGCTCCTGGCCCGGCCTACCCTTGCTGCCTTTGCGACCCCGATTTTAGCTCACTTCTTTGCGGGTTCGCTGTCCCTCTCCGCATGCCCCCCGCGGGGACTCACTTGAGCAGTTTTGCCGCCAGCTTCTGCAACCTGACGGGAGTTGCTGTTGCCAGGCAACAAATAGCTTTCCATCTCTGAGGTCAGGGGTCAATGATCTGGCGATAAGCCTTCTGGGGCTTGTAGTTCCAGCCGAATGAGCGGAACAGCCTTCAGTCCCATTGGGAGCTAGGCTAGGCTCTAGCCGCCTGGCGGGTTCCTGAGTCAACACAGGGTCCACCAGTCCAGCCCCTGGGCGCCCGCTCTCCTACCGCAGCAACCGTCAAGAATGCTCTGACCCATCGAAGCCATGGCCTCAGGGGCCGAGAGGAAGCCAGGGGCCCCAGAGGGGACAGTCGCAGGGCTGGTCCAGGTTGTGGAGGCACCAGTTAATCATGCTCAGAGCCTTGAGGTGATGGTCCTGATGATCTGGCCATCAGCCTTCAAACATTTGGCCACGGTGCTCTGAGGGCAGAACTTTGAGTGATCTGACCCCCTAACTGCCAGTTCAGGCCTTACAGCGGAGGGGCCCGGGATGGTGCCCTTTCTCTGGTGTTTGGGGGCTGATGTTGGGCATCGAATGTCTCATTCCTACATCTTTTGTTTGGCCATGGCAACTAATTACCTATGTGTTGCCTCTAGTGCTCAATGATGGGAGACCAGTGCCCAGTGCCAGCTTATGAGGCCTGCAGTACCCAGGGTGAAGACGTGTGTCCAACAGGACACTGCAGAGAGCCAGAGCTCCAGGAGGAGGGGATCAAGCTGGAGGAAGAAGTGCTTGAGGCAGAGGCAGGAGACGAGAGAGGCCCCAGGCTTGGGGCCTCCATCGTGGGGCCCAGTCATGGACTGAAGAGGAAACCGATCAAGTGAGGAGGTTTTTCAGAGGGAAGGAACTGCAGGGATGGGGTTGAGCCTCAAACTTACCCCTGGAGAATTCTTAAATCCTGTACGGCTGTGGGGCAGATTCTTGTCCCTTGCCACTATCATCACTCTGCCTATTCTGTTCCTCAAGAGCTCTGGCATAGGGAGCACCAGCACCAAGAGAGATGGAACCTCCATGTCTTGAAGGGGAATGAGGTCACATAAGTGCTGGGACCCTATTGGGCCTGGGATTTCATTGACCAAGAAAGGGATAGCTTTATAGTCCTGGATTGGTGGGATAGGCGGGGCTAGTCCCTAGGCTCAAGGCAAAGGAGCCAGAGGCTGAAGGCTGCCTCTCAGGCCTCTTGTCCCCAACTTTAGTCTCCCAGCCTCCCAGGACCTAGCTACCATGCCCATCCTAGGACTGAAGCTGAGCTGCCACCAGGGATGCTGCTACAGAGAGAGGAGCTGGAGGGCTGTCAGAATGAACCCTCACCATCTGCCAAACAGCACAAAAAAGCCAAGAAACGCAAAAGTCTGGGGGCTCCCATGCTTCCAGCTGTAGCCAGCACTATGTCTGCACCCCCAGAGACCCTGGGGCTGGAGCGTGAGTGGCAGTCCTTGGGCTTTCCCTTCTTTCCCTGCTTGCTGGAGCTGACATTGCACAGCCTGGCGCTCCAGCCCCTGTCCTGCCCCGGGTCCTTGCAGGAAAAGCTCAGCGCCTCCGGCCATTGTACCAGTATATCAACTATTGCAACCCTGAGCTGAACCAGGCAGGGGAGGAAGACAGGGAGGCTGAGGTAGAGCCTGAGTCAGAGTTGGCCCTGGTTCCTGAGGAGGCAGGTGTGGAGCAGCTGCAGGCCTTGCTCCCTGTGGCAGGTGAGCTGGGCTTAGGTCTCCCTTTGCCCTATTCCAATGTGTTAGTTCCCCCCACTCATGCCTTGGCTCCCCTGGGAGAGGAGGCTGGAGTGGAGCTTGGGGTTTTGCCCAGCTTGGGGATGAGTGGCCACCTCAAGGCAGAGGTGGATAAGTCAACCCAGGTGGATATCGACAAGATGCTGAGTGTCTGCACTGCTCCCCTTGTGCCCCCACTCTCCCCTCAGTACAAGTAACTTCACCCACTGGGTGTTCCCATTCTCCAGGCCTGACCCAGGGCTGTAGCCTGAGGGCTAGATGGAGGGGGGAATTTGGCTCCTGATCCCATTTGAGAACTTGGAAAATAAACATTTTTTCCTTTTCTAAGACCAATTCCCCAAATATGATGCTTCAATTGGGGAAAGAAAGAGGCTGTGAAGAAGGGTGAAGGACTCACCTGTGCAGAGTTTGAAGTTGGGCCAGTCATCTGGATCACCAGGGGCCATGTCATCTGACAAATGAGATTCCTGGGTACCATCCTAGGCCTGAATAAGAAGTGGGTTTGGGCAGGCAAAGGGCCCAGTTCTGTGTATTTAAGTCTCCCCAGGTGAATCAGGGTCAGGTAGGCTAATAGTGGGGAATGAAGAGGGAATGGGGAAGGAACCTGAGGCAGAGAAAAGGTCATGCAGATGGGCATGGTGGCACACTGGTAGTCCCAGAGGCGTGGGAGGCTGAGGCAGGATTGCAAGTTCAAAGCCATTCTCAGCAACTTTGTGAGGCTCTGAGGAACTTAGTGAGACCCTGTCTCAAAAAATAAAAAGGACTGAGGATGTGGCTTAATGGTAAAGTACCCTGGATTTAATCCCCAGTATCCCCTCCCCACAAAAAAAGGTCATGAGAAGCAGGCATTTGGCCCTGCTGTCTCTCAGGGAAGAGCCTGTGTTTAGCCTGACCTCAAGGGGACCAACACATGGTATTCCTGGGTGGAAAGGTTCATTTACCTGCCCTAAGTGGCAGCTTTGAAATATTTTCCACCCATTACCACAGCTGGATCTATGCAGTGACCCTGCCTCACACTTCTGCACCCTTGATGGTGTCACTGTCCCTCTAGCACCTTTTTCCTCTTGCCCCAGCTGCCTTGAAACTTCCCAGTGTCTCTAACTCCCTGATCAGCCACACCTTTTCTTACTTTCACTCTCTGCACATGGGGTTTTCCTGCTAAGAAGCCTTTATTCCCTAACCCATCCATCTGGCTAGTGCACACATGATCCTTGACAATTTGGGTACCCTCTTTCTGCTGAGCCAGGCAGCAGGCAATGTTGCCTTGCATTGTATACTATTGAAACTGTGGAATATAACTGTCTTTGCAACTGAACTGGGAATTCCCCAAAGACACTCATCAATGAATCATATCCACCTATCAGACAACCCCCATAAAAGGTACCAAAGATAGGGAGACCATTGAGGGGTTGGAGGAGGCTGTGGAGAGGATAGGTCAGAATCTGAATGAATTAAGCTATCTGAATTACACAACAATGTGCTGGGACCCTGGAATAATAGTCAGCATGGTTATCAGAGGAAGCTGAGTGGGCAGGCCCAGGCAGGATGAAAATGGGCATGGCCCTTTTTCTTGGCATTATTCCTGGCTGTTCCCTCCTTTGGGAGGGTCACTTGGATACTCAATTGTTCCATTGCAAGGTCATAAGCAAGCCCTGAGGTCTGGACACTTCTTTCTCTTTGCATCTTTAGATTTCCCTGGGTTGTATTTTGCCCACCCCAAGGTGATACTGTCCATAGGGCCCACACAGACAGAATCTCATCCATAGAGATGAACTCAGATTCTTCAGGGTATTTCAGAGCTGGATAATTGAGGTTGACCTCACTTTATGGCTAAGGAAGCAGAGGCCTGCAGGGAAGTGTTCTTTTTAAGAATTTTTTAATATTTACTTATTTTAGTTATTGGCGGACACAACATATTTGTATGTGGTGCTGAGGATCCAACCCCGGCCGCACGCATGCCAGGCGAGCGAGCTACCGCTTGAGCCACATCCCCAGCCCCAGGGAAGTGTTCTTGCACATGTTGAAAGTAAGTCCACATGGGCTGGAGTTGTAGCTCTGTGGAATAGTGCTTGCCTAGCATGTGTGAGGCCCTGGGTTCAATTCTTAGCACCACATTACAAATAAGTAACATAAAGATCCATCAACAACTAAATTTTTTAAAAAAGGAAGTAAGACCACATGCTGGAGCCTGTGAGGCTCTCTGCCTTCCTCTGAGTTCTACAAAATCTGTGGACTTGGCTCTCTGGTTAAGGCCTGATCTAAGAAGGCCAAGCATCTACTCTCTCGGTGGTCTTTGGGTCTGGTGGTATGGTCAAGACCAGCATTGAGAAGGAAGCTCTGCTCATTTCCCCACAGGTGAAGGAGGGAATGATGATTAGAAAAGAACTGTTCTAAGCAGGGGTAATGGGAGCCACAGGAAGGGAGAAGTTACTGCTGCTCCTAGAAGCTCTCTCTAAGGGGGAAATGCTGAGGTAGCATGATTCAAGAGGAAATGAAGGACCACAGGTAATGGGGTGGCCACTGTTGCCTAGGGAAGTAGTAATCAGGGGAGAAGTAGCCATCAGGTGGCCTTCCAGTTACTCCTGAAGAAGAGAGCTAGTGCTTTCCAGGCCAAGGAAAAGTCAGGAATGAAACCGTGCTGGTGTGGAAGATGTCAGCTCTATGCAGGAGGGCTGCTCAGTGTGGCTGAAACAGCACATGAACATCAGGGGCCCAAATTGGCCAAATTGGGGGGTGACAAAGAGGAGTACAGACAAACAGGGTCCTTGGCCTGACATTATGGAGAGGTCAAATGGGCAGCAGTGTGAAGAAAAGAATGGAAAAGAGACAGGACAGGAAGGTGAGGAAGTAGCTGCCAGGTCTTAGTGAATGTGAGGCCTAGATTTGTTTGGAGGCTGGTGACTGTTATTTCAGAGGGGACAAGATGAATTTTCACTGAGCTTGTAAAAACTTTACTTTGACCTAAGAAGTGTTGGGAGCTTTCCAAAATTTGGGAATCAAATTTCAGGTCCTAGGAGATGCTGCTACCTTCCTCCGTGAGGGGGCGCTGCAGGACAAGCCAGGAGCCAGTTTGGGCTCTGCTCACCCATGGGATCCATTGATCATAGGCATCTGAGCCACTTCCAGGCTCAATTCTCCTCCCCATTCCCAAAGTGGAACCAGTGAGCTATGATGCCCAAGAGGTACACGATGGTGAAGATGTCAGAAGGATTAGGACCAGGAGCACATGTCTGTAATCTAGTGACTAGCAAGGCTGAGGCAGGGGGGTTGGGGATGTGGCTCAAGCGGTAGCGCGCTCGCCTGGCAAGCTAGCGGCCCGGGTTCGATCCTCAGCACCACATACAAACAACCATGTTGTGTCCGCCAAAAACTGAAAAATAAATATTAAATAATAATAATAATAATAATAAAAAGGCTGAGGCAGGAGGAAAGCAAGTTTGAGACCTCACTGGGTGACTTAGCAAGACCCTGTCCCAGAATAAAAAATAAAAAGACCTGGGGATGTAGCTCAGTAGTAAAGACCCCCATACTGAAGGAAAAATGTCAGGGGGATAGGGTGATGGGGGGGGTTCCCTCAGAGAACTTGGGGTCTCATAAAAGCAGTTCTAGGGGCTGGGATTGTGGCTCAGTGCTAGAGTGCTTGCCTAGCATGTGTGAGGCACTGGGTTCGATCCTCAGCACCACATTAAAAATAAATAAATAAAGGTATTGAATCAATCTACAACCCCCCCAAATTAAAATAAACAAAAGCAGCTCTACACTAGGCTCACTGCAATCTGCCCCAGCACTTCTGGGCATCTGTCTCTGTAAACAGCAGTCCTCCAAAACCAACATTTGGCCACTGTGGGTCAGCAACATGGACTTTTCTTATGTACGAGCATCTTATGTTTTCTTGGTCAAGCCCCAAATTTAGGAGGGACTTGGACACCCCAGTAATACCCAGAGTGACTGACCTGCTGAGCTGAGTCCCAGGGACAATTAACTATCAGCCTAATGGTGGGCTTTCTCTTCTCCCCCTAGTTCAGGATAGGTTGAGACTCCTGCTCCAGGAGGGACACATCTGGGCTTGTGAGTTAAGATTCTCAAATGCTGATACTCCTGGCTCCATTTCTTATAATCTACAGGAAGGCAGTAACTTTACCCCACTGTGCCTGTTTTCTGATCTGAATAATGGGCCTACTAAATCTTCACAGAGTGGTTTGGAGTTACCCTGGGGGCCCAGCATGCCATAAGATTACTCCAACACTAACCCTTGTTATTTTATCTCACAAGGACAATGTCTAAAAACAGGTCACTACAGGAAAACAGGCCTGGTGACTTCTATAAGGGGTGCCAAGAGGAAGAAGCAAAACTTCTTGCGCCTTTTTGGCAAGAAGCCCAGGGCGGGAAGAGGGAGGAAGGCTAGAGAAGGGCAGAGTTTGTCCAGGCTTCACATCTAGCAGGCTGGCAAAGGAAATAAAGGGGCAGACATGGCTAAAAAGGAACAAAGTCATACACATGGATAGTGACTGTACAGGTGGGTTAAGCAGTGTTAGCCAAATCTACTATGAGAGGCAGCAGAGGTCCCTTCCTCCTCAAGCTCCTGCCTCTCCAGGAGCCATACCACGGGGCTGGAAGAACAGAATCCCTCCAGGCCTCAAGCCAAGGAGGCTTGCCCTGACTGCCTGAAACACAAGGCCCAACTGCACCCCCTAATGGAAGACTTGTGTACTGTCTTCTGAGGAAACACTTTAAATTGCCCCAACTGGCCCTAGATTTTGATCCTCCTGCCTCAACCTCAACTGAATGGCTGGGATTACAGGAGTGTACCCGTTGAGAAAACACTTTTCTTTGGAGGACTCCTGGGACTTGGCCATGAGGGAACAAGCAGGAGACAAGGGCAGGCAGTGGCAGAAGCCTCTGTGGCTCAGTAGATGGTGATAAATCCATGGCAGGCTCAGAGCTGCTATGGGTCATGAGGAAAGATAAAAACTATAGCAATAAACAAATCTTTCATTATTAAAGAACCCAAATCACCAATCAAAACCCACGAATCATGCTGTCACATTTTTCCGATTTATTAATTGACATCAGATGTTCTACAGTTCCCCCTTGTCTTCTCTCTGCCAAATCAGGGGCCCTTTTCCTTAGGTCAACAGCCCCAGAGCTCATCTAATACAGAAACCCCTCTTCCACGCAGGAAGGGTCAGCCTGGAGGCCAGAAGGGTCTGGCTGCATGGAAGGGCAGGTGAGGATCCCTGAAGGACGACTTACTGCCCTTACTGTTCCTGAGATCTCCTGGCCCAGAAGGGCATGGAAACAAAGTTCCTTGTCATTTATCCTCTGGCATTACCAAGCTGGTTTCTTGGGCTTTCTTATCCTGTCAGATCAGAGATCAGGCCCACAAGTCAGGCTTTTGCTGGCCCTGCTCACTAGCAGAACCATGAAGAGGCCTGGTAGCAACTCTGCCCTGACACTGTGCAAGCCTAGGCCATGGAAATAGGGGCACATGCTACTCTTCAAGTCTTGAGAAGTAAATGAGCAGAAGGACAAGTTATCTTCCTTGGGCCCCTTCAATTGTCTCCCAGTTTTAGTCCGAGCTGATTATGATACTGTCTTTGCCATGGCCAAGTCCCCATCACAGTTCTGGTTTCATCTCTGGCCCCTCTGCTCTGTGGCAGGGAGCCCATGTAGAGGTCATAGATTGTTCCGCTGAAGTGCCTCACATAGGTTCTGGTTGGCATCAGGTTCCTCTGTCAGCACCTCCACAGTCTCCCACTCCCCCGATCGACTTGACCTTTTGATGGCATCTACCACACTCTGCATATACAGCCCATCCTCAAATGAGGCAGCCATGGAAACTGGAGCACGATCCCAGGTACGGCGGTCGCCCTGACCCTGGAAGGACTGGCGCAAGGCCTGTACCATGTAGACCATGCCTTTCAAGTAGAGCAGTGGGACGTCCTGGGGCCCCTGATCTGGCAGCCCTGCACCCATAGACAGGGAGTCCCTCACAAGCAGCTCCTCTTGCATGGCAGTGTTCTTCTGCCCATAGAGGTCAGCTCCCCGGGCAACAAGACGTCCTGCGGAGCCGACCACCATGACTTCATGCACAAAGGCACCTGGCATGTTGAAGTTAAGTGTCACTGTGCTGCACACCCCACCACCCATAAGCATCTGGAAGAAACAGAAGTCATCGCTGGTTACATGCCGGATGCCACGGATGGCAGCATTCTGTCTCACAAAGGTCTTGAGCAGCCCATGTACCTTCTCGGCTTTCCGGCCAGTCAGGTGGGTCAGCAGGTCCACGATGTAGGTGCCCATGGTGTGCAGGCCCCCTCCACCCATGAGCTCATCACAGATCCAGCCGTAGCTGGGGCTGAGCAGGCTGCCTGAGTATACACGGGCATCGCAGATCATCACCGCACCTACATAGTGCTCTGCAATTAGTTGTTTCATGCGCACAAAAGCAGGCAGGAAGCGCAGCACATTCCCCACCAGGCTCATCAGCTGTGGGTAGTAGCGTGAAGCTGTCACCATCCGGAAGGCATCTATCGATGTTGCTGCCTTTTCACAAACCACATTCTTCCCAATGCCTACAAGTAAGACACAATAGGAAATCTCAAAGTTCCAAGGGTTTACAATAGGGAAAACATCTTATTTCTCCAAAGCAGATGGACCATGCAATAGGACTAGAAAGTGGCCTGGGAGAAGAGAAAGGGTTACTCAGCTTAGACTGAAAATGGTCACAGTGACTGGAAAGTTATGGGTTAAATAAAGAGGAAAGGTTATTGGTCTCTCCAAAACCCTCCCTCTGGCTTCAGTACTAGGAATTAGACTCAGGGATGCTCAACCACTAAGCTACAACTGTAGTTCTTTTTCATTTTAAGGCAGAGTCTCACTGAATCACTTAGGGCCTTACTAAGTTGATGAGGTGGCTTCAAACTTGTAGTCCTCCTGCCTTGGCCTGCCAAGTTGCTGGGATTATAGGCATGTGCCACCATGCCTGCAAGAATAGGTTCTCTCTCTCTCTGAATATTTTTTAGTTGTAGGTGGATACAATACCTTTATTTCATTATTATGTGGTACTCAGGATGGAACCCAGAGCCTCATGTGTGCTAGGTGAGTGTTCCACCACTGAGCCACAACACCAGCCCCAGGAAAAGGTTCTTAAGAGGCATGAATGGAGTTGAGGCAGGAGGATCACAACTCCAAGGCCAGCTCAGTAAATTAGTGAGAACCTGTTCCAACAACAAACACAACCCAAGGCTGGAGTTGAAGATAGGTATATGACAGTCAATTTTATGTGATCAACTCAGCTACACTACAGGGCAGGCCGTTCAAATGCCAGTCTAGATGTTGCTCTGAAGGTACTTTTTTAGATGTGATTAACATTTAAGTCAGATGACTTTGACTAAAGCAGACTACATGGAATAATGTGAGTGGGCCTCACACGATCAGTAGAAGGGCTGACTGAAAAGACTGAAGTTCTCCTCAGAGGAGGGAATTATACCTCCAGAATGCCTTGAGGCCCAAGTAATATAGACTCTTGCCAGAATTTCTAGCAGGCTGGCCTGCCTGGCAGGTTTTATTTATTCATTTATTTATTTATTGGTACTGAGGATTGAACCCAGGGGCACTTTACCACTGTGCTCCATCTCCATCTTATTGTAGTTGCATATGTTCAGAATGCTTTTGTTTGTTGTTTATTTATATGTGATGCTGAGGTTCTAACCCATGTTAAGCAAGTGCTCAGCCACTGAGCTAGAGCCCATCTCCAGCAGTTTTAGTTTTTATTTTGATACAATGTGTTGCTAAATTGCTGAGGCTTAAATTTGCAATCCTCCTGCCTTAGCCTCTTGAGACACTGAAAATTATAGGCATATGTCTGTACCAGTATCTTCAAATAAATCTCTCTCACACAGTATGTTCTTAGTTCTGATTCTCTGGAGAACCCTAATAATACAGATGGGATTGAGGGGAAGACACACATCATGGACATTATAATTTTATTAGATCATTTTGTTTGGGTCAAGATAATCCATATTCTTGGGGATAGGTGTGGCATTCTCAGTTATAACTCCAGAGAGGGCCCTAAGTGTCCTGCAGACTGTTCTCTGAAAATTTCCACTGGTCAACTTCGAGAGGCAAAAAGAGAAACTGTTCACTTCCAGTAGAGGGGAAAGGAAATGAAAACAGTTTTTCTGATCTCATACCCATTTTAAGTTTGCTGTGGTTGGAACACTCAAAGATAGCAAAGTAGTTGGGTAGAGTGATGCACATCTGTTAATTCCAGCCTACTTGGAGGCTGAAGCAGGAGGATAAAAAGCTTAAGTCCAGCTTCAGCAACTTAGTGAGACCCTCAAAAATAAAAAGGGCTTGGAATGTAGCTCAGTGGTACAGTACCCCTGGGTTCAATCCCCAGAATAGAGGCAAAACAAGGACCCCAGAGAGCTGCATAGCTTCTTTATGAGTGATTTAAGGTGAAAACTCATGAAGGTATGAACAGCCAACAAGACACTAACACCCTAACTAACACCTGGGTTGCTCCGCTAGCTTAGAGTTGGGTTCAAGTAGAAGAAAAATCCTGTACCTTCAAAAATAAAAATAAAATAAAAAATCAGAGGAACTGGGATATAGCTCAGTTGGCAGAGTGCTTGCCTCATGCCTCACATGCACAAGGCCCTGGATAGAGGGAGGGAGGGAGGGAGG